TATATATATAAGGCATAACAATAAGAAGGTTTGAAAAATTTTTTGGGGAAAGCATAAACAGAACTGGGCTTTTAATGCAGCGGTTTGCGTTTAGTTGAAGAATCTAATAGCAAATCAATATAGCTGACATAGCTTGCGGTCTCTTCAGTTTTGCTCAAGTCTCTTCGTGCTCGGATAATATCCAACTGCGGCACCCATTCGAGGAGCGCTCTACCAATGGTATTTGTAAAGAATTTCCATTCTGTTGGTGCATCGGCAAGTTTTTTCAAAAATTCTGTTATATGACCATCCGGAAAAAACCGATAAAATGATTCAGTAACATCACATAACGGTAAAACGTGCAACAAATGATAATTGTTGTTCAATATTGCATTCAAAATCAGTTGTCCACAAAGAGTGTCAAATTCTGGCTCTGGTATACGTGTTATCCATAGTTTAAGCGCATAATGCCAACCCATTTGCGATGCTTCAATACAAGCATCATCATACTGGAAACTGTAATAGGGTGTACCATAACTGCATACACGCCATGCAGCATATTTAATCACCTTATCAACATTATCGTCCTCTAACAGATAACGACGTGTTGTTGCCGTCAGATGGTGCCATATTTCTGCACATTTCTGTAATAATAAAATAAAAATGAAAAAAAAAAATGGAGTAAAACAATGATAAACAATAAAATAATGAAAACTTTCTTTTCTTTAATGTTAAAGAAAGAGAACCGATGCAGTTAGTAAGGGTGCTGATGAGAATTTTTGAAAAGGTAGACACGAAAGGTAATTGTCATAAATGAACAAAATGAAGCAATTGGCAAAAAAAAAACTTTTTTGCATTATGAGCCAAAAAACTATTGAAGGGATCTGTTCGTTATTTTCATGTTGGTTCTGTTTAGCTTTCAATATCACAAATTCAAATCGCTATAATCTGTAAAGGGATTTGAGCACGGTAAAATAATTTCACGGAATAAATACACTTGTCAGTTTCTGCCGTTATCTGTCACATTTTCTGGTTTTTTTCTTTTATTTCCCTGTCATCTGCATTATTTGGAACTCCTGGTTAAATATGTTATCTCGTTTGAAAGGATAGAAAAGACTCTGCCGATGGCGATATCGATGAAAGTGATAATAAAAAGCTGGAGCATCGGTGTTAATGAAGTAAAGAAGCCAACAGTACGGAGATGAGGAATGACAATTTAGGCGAACTTAGCAGCCGAAGGGTGAGGAACAAGGTAAAAGAAAAAAATCATTTTTCTTGAGATAGTATTTTTTAGGGGTTCATAAAAATGCTTGAAAACCCAAAAACAATTTTTTTTAGCAATTTGGCTGTAATATAAATGTAAGACGATGTAAAAAAAAGTGGGTTGGGGAGAAGAAGGATGAAGGGGAACAAGGAGTAAATGAAATGAGGCGCCAAAAGAATTTTTAGAAAAAATCAACAGAAGATAACGAAAAGTTGTTCAAAATGATCAATTTCGCTATAAAAATATTTAAACTGACTAAGTAACTCTCAAACTAATCAACCAATCCCGCCAACTAGTTAACTAGCTAGCTAACTGACTAAATGACTTACATCTTCCAATCCATTAACGGCAGCTAAACCGAAGGCTTTCATCGCACTTAGGGGATCGTTGATTGCTGTATCGGCTAAGTATCTATTAATGCAATAGTAAACAACAGCAATCCAGTCAAGTTGTGTATCGTCAGTTAGTAAAATTGGTAGGCCACTTTTGATATCTAACAACTGAACGTGTACACGTTCAAATGTTCGCATTTGTTCACGTAACCTTTCCAGTTTTCGCAACAACCATCGTGGCAGACCACGATTATTTAGGGCCTCCGGTGCTCGTTGATCAAAATTAGACACTATATAACGGATACAAATGTTTTCCAGACGCCATACTGACATCTTTGAGGCTGAAAAAGAAATATACATGCACTCATATACGTTTCACTCCAAAGATTATTGAACCTTTTCGTCGTTATTTCATTTTTCTCCTAACTTATATATGGTACTGTTGAAGAAGATGCTA